GTAACTCCATAGATCAACAGAACAAGGTCTGCTCAAGTGGAGCCTTGGATTGACATGGGACTATCGAAGTGGGCAAAGTTCAAGACCAACGTCGCGCTGCCTAAGCACACTAGACCATAAACAAGCGTTGGTAAACCACATTGAGCCAGCCCTCGCAGAGGTATTGCAAAGCCTGGTGTCACAAGGTCAAGAGCAAGCAGCAAAGGTTCCAGCCACGCCATTCCATATATGAACAAAACGGAATCAACCCTTGAGAGGCTGCGTGAGGATGGCGAAGAGCCAAGGTGCAAATGATCTGGCACAAATAGAAGGAATTCTAAGCATGCCATGCCATAGACCAAAAGCATTGACTCTGGGCAGGAAAGGCTTTGCAAAGGTGAGGCCGATCCAAGAGTCACGTGATCTAGCACGAGCAGCACAGAGTCCAACCGAGCCATTGAATAAGCAGGCAATGCCGGTTCCATGTGGGCAAAGCTGTGAGGAAACATCATTGAGCCCACATGAATAAGGTCCACCGCAAATGAGCTCGACTCAAGACGCGAACATCCGTAAGCTGAAGGAAACAAATCAAGGCGCGAGTAACTTCGCAGCGGCAAAGAGAATGCCATGTGGAGGAAATCCAAAGCCAGCAGTGATAAACCAGGCCAAACCATGCCGTAGACCAACGACACGAGGTCAGGTTATGCAAAGCCTTGCAGTGACACGGATAAGGCCATATGCACAAGATCTGATGCAAACAGGGTAAATTCCGAGCAAGTTAATCCAAAAGCTGGAGTAAAGGATCCCATGTGACCCAGCCCACGTGACGGCATAAAGCTTCCGAATGTGATGTGGTCAAGTACAAAAAAGGAACTTCCAGGGCAGACCGTCCCATAGACAGATGCTGTAGGTCCTGATTACGCAGATCTTCTCAAGGGAAGCACACTGTCCAGGGATACAAAGTCCAGCACCAATAAAAAGTCTTCTAGACACGCAATTCCAAACACTAGAAGCATTGGCCCTGGGCACACAAACGTCTTTGAGGGCACTGGAGAGTCCGAGCTGACAAAGTCAAGTGTTGACAACGATGAGTCAGGCCTCCCAATGCCGTATGCAAATGAGAAGCTATCCAGCTGCACCATACCTTGCAACAACAGCAAGGAGTCAATTTTCACCATATCTAGCACAAAAGGAGGCAAACCCAGGCAGCTAAGGCCATAAATGGATGAACTGGGTCCAATTCAGACGAAGGATTGTGGCAGCACAACTAAACCCAGAGTCACATGGTCAGGTGCCAGCAATGGTAAGTCCAGTCGGATATTTGCATACACCGAAAGCGACAGGCCCAAGTAGCAGAGGCTTTGCAAAAGGAATGAAGGGCCTGCGCTGGCAAAGTCCAGTGTCAATAAAAGCGAATCCAGTCGCGTCATTCCAAAAGCTGACAGTAGTGGGCCAAGTCAAAAGAGCCCTTGAAGCAACACTGCACTATCGAAATGCATCCAATCAAGAGTTGGTAGGGAAAGTTCGAGTCGCGACAATCCGAAGAGAAGAGGTGAAGAACCCAGCCGCACAAAGGATCTCATAAGAAATGCAAATCCAAGGGTCACAAAATCCAAGACCAACGAGCTGAAGCCTGGTCAAGCCATTCCGTAAGTTGACATGGTGCTGTCAGAGCAAACATGGCTATGAAGAAACATTGCAGGGTCCGGGTGCAAAGAATCCAGCACAAGCAGTGTCAGACCCAGGCAACTCATGCCGTATGCAAGCAAAGCAGGCTCCGCCCGGAGAAAGCCTCTCAAGAACAGCATCAAACCAAGGTGCACATAGTCTGAGATTGGCATCAACAAGTCCAGTCAAGAGGTACCATAGGTCAAAAGTGCGCTGCCAAGATAAAAGTAACCTCTGAGGGACAAGGAGAAATCCGTTTGAGTAAAGTCTAGCACCAGCAAGGATGAGTCCAGTCAACCCACACCATAGGTGGGCATCGTGCTACCGACATACATGAAACTTTGAGGCAGCAAGGACGATCCAAGCGTCACAAAGTGCAGCACAAATGAGGCCAGTTCAAGGCAAGCAATTCCGTAAATGGACAAAGTGCTGTCTAAGCGGGCATGGCTTTGCAGAGGCAGTGATGAGCCCACGTAAACCATGTCGAGCACAAACAGTAAGAACTCCAAGCATGCCATGCCATAGACTGACAGAAGGCTTTCTAATCATGCATGGCTTTGCATTAATGGTGACGAAGCAGGACTGGCAGAGTCTAGCACCAGCAACAATAGGCCTGCCCGCGCCAGGCCATAAGCTAGTAGCAACAATTCAATCTTGGAAGATCCTCGCAGAAAAGTTGCAGATCCTAAATGAGTCAGGTCAAGCAAAGGCAGAACAGGTTCTGAGCAGGCCATCCCAAAGGCCAACAAAATAGAGCCAGTGCAAAGAAATCCTTGTAAGGATGGCATGAACCCGAGGTTGATGTAGTCCGAGGCAAAAGGCAACGACTCTGGCCATGACATGCCAGATGCAGGTGGCAAAAGATCAAAGCGCAAAAGCCCCTGCAAAAGTAACAATAGCCCTGAATGGACAAAATCGAGCACAGGCATCATAGAGTCAGGTCATCCCATACCATAGGGAAACATTGTGAAGTCTAGATGTAAAAACGATCGTGGAGGCATAGACGGGCCCAAGTGCAAAATGTCCAAAACCAACAAAGGGAGACCAAGGCAAGTCATGCCAAAGGCCAACAAAAAAGAATCCAAGCAGAGATGGCTTCTCAGTGGCGGAATTGGGCCAACCGCGATATGGTCGGGGGCCAGCAAGAATGAACCCAGCTTGCTGACACCATAGAGTGAAACAAACAAGCCTGGCTAAACGAGGCTACGCATGGGTGCTGAGCTGCCCACAAAACAGCTATCAAGTATCAACACCATACTCTCGTAGCACGCCATTCCAAAGAGCAAAACCGTGGGATCGAGTCAAATAAAGCTTTGAAGGAGCATCGTTGATGCCAAATTCACAAAATCGGGGGCTGGTAGGGGGAAATCTGACCAAGTCATACCAAATGCTGGCAGCAGCAGGTCTATTTGAAGGAAGCTTCTCGGCAAAGGAGTTGACCCCATCATCGAGAGGTCAGTCAATGGTGGAGGACTATCAAAGCAGGTCATTCCAAATGCTGAAAAGGTCAGGTCTACCCGGCATGAGCTTTGCATGGACATTGACAATCCAAGATGCAGCAAATCCAACGGCGATAGTGAACTACCAAAGCGACTTCGCCCAACAACCGGCAGAATCAAACCGATTCTGCTGTAGCCTCGGGTTGACATGGATGGTGCCATGAGTGCGTAGTCCAGAATAGGCACGGGCAGCTCAGAGCGAGAGATTCCGCAAACAGGCAAAGCAAAATCTACCTTGCAATAGCTTTGAATTGAGAAAGTAGAACCTGGGTGGAAAAGATCTGGCACAAGCAACAGCAGGCCTGAGCAGGCCATGCCATAAACAGACAAAAGACTGCCAGAATGACCCCATGCATGCAACGAAGGTATGAATCCTGGGTGCAAGCAGTCGAGTGTGAACGAAACGGATTCAGGGCAACTCATGCCAAAGGCCAAAAGAAATGAGTCCAAACAAGCGAGACCACGCAGCAATAAGGACAAGCCGGCATGGATGAAGTCCAATGATGGCATTGCAAAGCCAGGCCACAACAAGCCAAAAACCAATGGCAGCAAACCTGAATGGCCCAGAGTTCGAATTGAAGTTGCAAGTCCGACTTGCACGTGATCAAGAGCTGGCATAACAGAACCTGATCGTAGTAAGCCGAAAAGAAATGGAGAAGGTCCCGTGCGCACGAAGCTCCGCAACAGCAGCAAGCTACCAAGTGCGCAAGAGTCAAGCACTGGCATGACCGAACCAAAACAAACTAAACCATATACAAAAGGTGATAGACCAGGGCGTGCAAAGCTCTGCACACTGATTGCACTACCGAATTCTGCTTTGTCTCTGACCAAAAGACAACTACCCGTTCGCACCTCTGAGAAGGCAAATGATGACAAACCAGGTTGCTGAAAGCCTTGCAAAAGCATGACTGAGCCCATATGGACAAAGTCCAGCGCAAACGAGAGCAATCCTAAAGCAGTCATGCCATATGCCAGCAAAGCGAGTTCCGGACAAACCAGATTCTGCAAAAACACGGACGAGTCGAATGCTGCATAGTCTGAAACAAACAAAAGCAAGTCCAGGCGAACCACACCGTAGAGGAATGCGGCTGAATCTGCCCAAGAAGAACCTTGCAGAAACATGAAACTGCCCAAGGTCACAAAGTCCAGAGCAAACAAGGGGAAGTCTGAGCAAGCCATGCCATATACAAGCATAAGCAAGTCAAAGCGTGCAAAGCTACGAGTTGGCAAGAGCAAACCTGGATGTACAAGATCTAGAGTCAGCATTAAGAATCCAGGGCATGCCATGCCATATATCGACAGGGCACTATCTGTTTGAGAGAAACTGCACAAAGGAAATGGTAATTCCAATTGAACAAAATCTAGCACCAGCAATGTCAATTCAAGGCTGGCCATGCCGTAAACAGGCATCAGTGAGCCCGACCAACCAAAGCTGCGCAAAAATGAGGCAGAATCCAAGTGCACAAGGTCGAGCGCCAGCAAGGGAAATTCCAGGCGTTGCATGCCATAGACTGGCAAAGACAATTCGTACCATGAGAAACCTCTTAGAAATGATGAAAGTCCCATGTGAACGGGATCCAGCACTGGAGTGAAGGGACCAAATCAGGACACTCCAAATGCAAAGAAAGCTAAACCTGCGCAGCACATGCCTCTCAGCAACATAGGGAAGGCCATTTGTACATAGTCTGAGGCCGACAACAAAGAGTCCGGACGAGTCACACCATAGACAAACGGGGCACTTCCTGATTATGCAAGGCCATGAGGTGACGATGGAAAGTCCATCATGGCAAAATCTAGCGCAAACAAAGCCGAGCTAAGTCTCGTAGCACCAAAGACCAGCGGAAAGCTCCCCATTCACGTGAAGCTACACATTAAAAATGTGCTTCCAAAATGGACAAAGTCCAAGGCAAAAGGCGATAGGCCAAGCCGAGCAAAGTCGTAGACTGGCGCTGTGAAACCCAGCCGAGCAAAATTTGCCACGGAGAGCGAACTCGCCAGTGTGGCAAAATCCTTGGCGGACATGAAGAAACCAAACCGCACGATGCCAAAAACCAATAAAGTGCTATCAAGTCGTGCAAAGCTTGCTACCGGGAGGGAGCTGCCCAAGTTGGATCTGCACTCTACAGAGATTGTCCCGCCAAAACGGACAAAGTCCTTGACTGAGAGTGACTTACCAAAGTCCACCTGGTCTGCTACGGAGAGGGTGCTGCCGAAGCAGGCCCCTGCATACGTGGAGAGTATGCTTCCTAGAACAGTTGCATCGAAGACAGACAAGGAGCTGCCAAGCCTGACATCCGATAGGACAGACAGCGTGCTGCCAAGCACTGCTGCGTCGAATACGGAGATGGTCGAGCCAAGCTGAACCTGGTCTATAACAGAGAGGGACATGTTGAAGAACGCCTCCTGCTCCTGGTGCCCAAAACAAGGGTAAACGGCAGTAAACCAGGAAAAGCTGAAGTCAGGCATGCTGTGACCTATCGTGGACCTAAAAAACTGTTAAGAAATTGTGTCAAATCACGGCCTGGGTGATGACCATGTACGGAGTCTGACCGCCCAGTCTTTCGGACATGATGACCTCATCGAAAGCCAGTACAGCGACGACCAAAGCATCACACTGTACGCTTAAGGAAAGAACAAAGACCCACTTGGTTCAAAGAGTACCCATCAAATTACGTAGCTGTTGCCGGACATGGGGTCTGCTTTGGATTTCGTGAGTTGCCCTGCAATTGACAGAAAAGAACAATGAATTTGGCTCGGATGAGTTCGCTGGAATCCCTCCAAGTCACAATGTCCATTGGTCTTTGGACTGTATCCACTCCGATGCTCCATTGCCTTTAACGAATGGTTGCGAATGGGTAAAAAAAACACCACAAATATTTAGCACAAGCAAAAAATAAGACCGCTTAGCATCACTGTGCCATGCCTTGCACCCTTTGATCTAAATGTGAGCTTCGCGTCTTGGTTGAAGGAGGGATCTGCCATGTCAGAAACAACGGACACAATTCAACATGTCCATTTCCCTTGTGCAATGTACCATTGAAACACGCTTCAATGGCTGGCATGCGTCTCAAATCTGCAGAAATAGAAGCAAACAGAAAAACCTAAGAAAACTAGCCATGCCGAGTGCTTCCAACCTTGCACATCTTCACTGGTACAAGCAAAGTTTGGTTCAAGCTTTGCCAGGCTTGCCAATGTCCACTGGACCTAGGAGGGTCACCTCGCCCTCTCGCGACACTAGCACCCTGCCACGCAAGTTTCACTTGGGTGAATGACCAGCCTTCTTAAGGTGAAAGGCAAAGGTCAAAAACCCGATTACAATATGTACTGTCAAAACAAAACCAGGGGACAAGTCAAGAGGTGAAGAGACCTCTGTTTGCTTCTTCCGCTTTCGTTTCGCAAGCACAATGACCACAGCCAGCTTTCTCCAGGTGCAAACAGTCAAGTGTCTCACACGGAGGTTTCAAGACCTTTCTATCACTGTGCATGTGAAAACATACAGTTCTGGAAATTTGCCCTTCTTGTAGCACGGTGCAACAGCCAAAAAACACCTGTTGAACACTGCCGCTGCCGTTTTGTTACAGATGTTTCGCTGGTCTATGCAGTTTTGAGAGATGGTCGCATGGAGTTAAGCTGCCAGCGACCATCTCCACACGACCATCTCCACACGTGAATGAATGATGGGCATTTCCTTTGATCCTTCTGAATACTGCTGCAAATTGGGTGTGGGCATTTTCATGCCCGATGTCAGGCCTGAATCTAGAATTTCCTTCGTTAGTTAGAACAGCACGGCACAGGATACCCTCAAAAGCAAGCAGGCAGGCAGGCAGGCAGGCAGGCAAGCAAACAAGCAAGTAAGCAAGCAGGCACGCACGCAAGCAATCATCCGAACATCCTAACATCAAATGCTGAGGAGAATCTCTTGTTTAATAGAAGCAGAACCAGAAGCGAACAAATGCGGACCCAACGCTGTTGTAAATAAAGAAGCAAACCCAATCAAAGTGCGTCGTGCCAAACTTGTCAACGACCCGAAAAGGACTGCATCGCTCGCATCCTTGTCGCATCGTAAGGATCAATTATATACATAAGTGTCCACAAAATACAAGCATAAAGCTGGCTGGCGGACCATGCACGGACACTCTGTATGAGGTAGTGAATGAGAAGTAGCAGCAAAGGCGATGTCCTTCAAGCAGGGCACCAAACTGAATTTGTGTGTAACCACCTGACATAAGTTCATTGTATTTGGAATAAACTGACAATCTTCGTCTCTGGGTTCCTGCACCATCGGACTGGGCGCCTTTCAGCAGCCCATTCCCACATGTTTGGCACCTGCAGCCCAGTCAGCAAGAACAAACCACTGAAATCATCGAGCACCATTTCATGTTTGCACAGTTTGTCAACAATACTGCAGCCCATAACTCGACTGCAAGTCGACTTGGTCTGGCTGGCATCGATTTGACAACCTGTTCGTACCAGTTCCCTTTTCCATCCAAGGAAGTCTCCATTCATTAGCATTGCACGCATTCAAATTGAAATGAAACTGTTTACAAATACCTTGTCTTGTTGTATTCCTTGACGGGACAGCCTGCGCCCGCGGCGTCCAAAGGTTGGTGCCTAGCCAAATGCAGGACCTTGATTGAAGGCAAAAACTCAAAAGTGACAAAGTTCCAAGAATGACTTAGAAGATGGAAAGAAACACCAGACTTGTGGCTCGCGTTTCATATTTCAACGGCCGTCATTCCAAACCAGTTGCATGGTCTCAGGTTCCCACTCATGCAGTAAATGTGTACGTCATGGCGGGCATATTATTACCCACCTGGTTCATATTTGAGCCACAAATGCGCCGAACCTTGATCAAAGTATATACCTATCCTTTTGTTTCCACAACGCCCTTCCGGCGCACAAATGAATATCACCACAATGGCGTTGTTATTGTCATGCCCAGCCCACTTCAACTGCCGTGCATTCCGTGATTCTAAACTACAAAGCCTTTTCCAAGAATGCTGAAATCTCATTGCTGTGGTTCAAAATCATGCGGGGAAGCTACACAGAACCAACCAAGATGCCTCAACAAACACAATTGCTGCATCCAAACACCAAAAATGCACTCGAAGCTCAATGCTGGCGGCCGCCGGTTGCGCGCTTGGACTTCAACTATCTATCCATCCATCCATCAATCCATCTATCTATTTATCTATCTATCTATCAATCAATCTACTTATCCATCTATTTGTTTATCTATCTATCCATCTATCTATCCATCTGTCTATTTATCTATCTATCTACCTATCTACCTGTCTTTCTATTTACCTACATATATCTATCTATCTATCTGTCTACATGTATCTATCTATCTATCTATCTATTTATCTATTTATCTATTTATCTATTTATCTATCTACCTACCTATCTATCTTTCCGTCCATCCATCCATCCATCCATCTATCAATCTATCACTCCTCTCACGCCCAAGCAATCCAGCAGCGGACAATGACGTGTCCACTCCCCATGCCATGAGAGGGCGCAGGGTGCTGATTGCGCTCTTCACCCTGCTCCTGACTTGGCAGCTGCTGGTCACAACCGAAGATCGTGCAAAGCTCGCACACACTGCTTTGGGCGTGCTCGCTCCCAATTCCGAGCATCTCACACCTGATTATCAACCTTTTTCCTTTGGACCTTGGGACGAGAGGTGAGGGTTGGACTAAGACCACACTTAGTCCTGGAGGGAGCTCACCACCTGCCGACATTTCTGTGGATCCTCCCAAATTTTGTGGTACGGGGCCTAATGTGTCCCACGGGAGGACGAAGTTATTTATCAAAAGATTGTAAAGAGAAGCTACAAACGTTTCGTTCGCAACCTGCAAACTCATGGAGTTGCAGTGTACCATGGACATGTGCACCTTGGAGCACCTGCTGCCAGTAAACCTCCGGTCACCACTTCCACACCTTGGTCCTCAGCACCGGGCAAGAGAAGGGCCCATGCTTCTGCCTTCAGCTGGAACTGCGGAGCGCTTTCTGCGGGTGGGTATGCAGAGCTCATGTGGTGGATCACACAACATGGGTTCGACATTGTCATGATCCAGAGTACCCATTGGAGCGCCACGGAAGCCTGGCAGAGTCATGGCTACTCACTGTCATTCCATCGGCGGATGAGGTTGCTGGGGAGGAGGGCTTTTGACGCTAGTCAAACAATCTTTCTGCACTTTAAACCAGATCAGCATGTGTGATGTCCTACCAGGCAGGTTACAACATACATGCTGTTACACAAGAAAGGGAACTCTGGACATTATCAACGCTTACCAGTATCCTCAGGGCATTGCACGGGTGAGACCTCTTGCCTCCAGAATTTCTGAAAACGCTTTTAGAACTTGCTAGATGAGCTCATTAGACATTAGATCCATGCCGTTCAGGAATATCATGCGTGACATGAACACACCACCTCAAGGATTTGGCCATCAACATAGTGATCACAGTGTGTTCTGGGACTTGATGCAGGTCCATGGATTTAGCTCTTTGCGTGCCCACGACAAAGCTCACAGCTATGGCAGCTATGTTGGCCCACGTGGACAAAGCAACATTGATTTTGTCAAAGGTAGCAACGACGCGGACCGGCTCCTTTTTCCAAGGAGCTTTTGGGCCACTAAAGGCCGGTAGCGGGTTTGTACATCTTCTATGTCACGCGTGAGGTGACAACTTCTAACACCCCACCTAGAAAGCTGTCAAGAGCATCGCTCATGCAGTCTTTTTCAAACCTGTCCAGTCCGTGCGAACTGGTCAACATGGTGCCACCGATTCGACTCCTCTTGCTATTTTTCACCTGCTGACCAAAAAATTTTGCCGACAAAACGGCCCCTGTTTTGGGGTCCAGAAACGGACCCCAAAATGGAGGCCACGCAGTCTCATTTGCAGATGCCCCAGGATGCGTCGACTTTGGGTGTAGAGCCTTTGCCGACTGTCGCTCATTGCAACACATAAATGCAAGACGCGACCGCCCCCAAACTTCCAGTGAGGACCTGCCTCAACACCAGTTGCCTTTTGCAAGCTTAGCTCAGGATGCCTCGAGGCGGGTCACACATATCAAGGAAGCAGCGTGGGAAATTTTGGACCTGCTACAATCAAATCCGCCCACTGGTGATGGCCTTGCCCATCACAATGGGGCACGAGCATGTCATGCTATTTACCAGGAAATGGTCGAACTTGAGGAGGCTCTGGAGCAGCTGCGTTAAGGGAGACAATCTTCCTGCAATTAAGGTGTCGGGAACCTACTGACAACCTGCATGAAGAGAGAGGGCGTTGGCAGAAAGATCTCGTAAGCCTTTGCGCCGCATTCCGATGTTAATTCGCTCGTCATGCCCAGGGTAATCACCTGAGCCCCTCAGGCTGACTTCGGAAACGTTGTATCACCTTTCTCGGAGTCGCAGAATCTCTGGCTCGAATATAGAAAGCTTACGCACCCCCTGTAGCCGTGACATTATCTTGGCATGGCCCTGCCGGTGCTAGTGGGCCCTAACCGATGTGAGCTCATCTACAACCATGAGAAACAACCGTTAATTGAACTGTCCCTTCGAGTGAGTCTGCCTGTATGTTAGGGATTTTCACTTTTACATGTAGTCTTGTTAGATGTGAGGTTTGCTCATGTACAGGTACACATACATACTCGTGAGCGCTTTCGGCACAAAGATGTGAGCTGCCTAACATGGTAGCGGAGCACTGAAGATCCCGGGCAAAGACCCGGGGGAGGTGCTGGAAGGGGCAATAGCGCTATCGGTGACGCGCGCGGCATCTCGAGCCCCGGGTAGAGCGATGGAGATGTTTGGTGCCCACCTCATGGAGGTGCTGGCTTTGTTCCTGTGCGAGGTCATGATCGTGTGGACCTTTGTGCAGAGCACTGAATTTGATGTACTGGTTGATTATTTCTACATTTTCATTGATGATTTGACAATTCTTGCGGAGATACAGGCAGTTTCATTTGCGTTACGGGTGGCAGAACTTGGAAAGGTGTTGATCGTCGGAGCCCAGTGGGAGAGAGTGTTTGCAGATTGTTTTGCTTTTTGCATGCAGTTTGGACCTTTCAGCGTTTTCGCATTCTCAGTGGTGTTTCTATCCATCTTGAAGTTCAGCTCGATTGGAGTGCGCTTGGGCCTGAGTGGTTGCAAGAAGAGGAGAAGAAACAAGGTGCAATCAAAGAAGCGTTGGAGCGACATTGCACGAAAGAAACACCTAGAAAGGAAGTTGAACAACAAAGGTCATTTGTTCCTCTTCTTGATCGTAAGCAATGGTTACGGTGTTTTTGGAATGGATGCACAACAATTTGGTCAATTCATGCAAGGATTCAGTACATTGTTGCATCGGCAAGAGGCTTTCATCCAGGGCATGGCACAGACCATGGGAGCAGGAGCAGGTTCTTCAACTGCCGAAGCCTCTGCTGTCGCGAAGAGTTTGGAGAGTGCAGCACGGATTTTGAAAACCCCTGACTTTTTCGATGCAACAGATTCCTCAGCATGGGTGAGTTGGCGTCACAGTTTCATGAATTGGTTGGGGTACGCTGACAGTCGATTTCTAGAGTCATTGAGGGACATTGAGAAGTTGGCTCCATCAGAGGAAGTGGAAACAGCAGATTGGTCGCAAAGTGACTGGGATCTAGCTCATAAGCTCTATGCTGTTTTGACTAGTTACCTGAGAGGATCCGCATTGCAGCTGAGCAGATCAGGAGCCGAGGATCGCAACGGCTACGCACTGTGGAAGAGCCTGGTTGATCACTACTCACCAGCAACAAGGCAGAGAGCTTTGGCCCTCAGTCAGGCCATTTCCTCGTTCCCTTCGTACAAGGCTGGAGGTGACAAGAGTTTGCAGGAGCACATCATGGGGATGGAAATGTTGGTACAACAATACGACAGTCTTTCATCCAAAGCATTTGACAGAGATGTGTTGTTGGGAGTTCTTTTGAGACTTTGTCCTGAAGCAGTACGACAACACCTCACTCTTTCCATTTCAGATGCCACGTCGTATGCTGAAGTGAGAGAGAGAATTCTAGCCTACGAGAGGACGTCTCGGTTGTGGAATGTTGATGACATTTTGAAACCAATGAACAAACAGAAGGGTCCAGCATTGACAGATCCGAATGCAATGGAAGTTGATGCAGTTATGCAAAAGGGCAAAGGTGGTTACAAGGGCAAAGGAAAACAAAAAGGAAAAGGCCGTGGAGACTGGTTCAATTCGTGGAATTGGGCTGGCAAGTGGACAAAAGGAGGAAAAGGAAAAGGAAAACCCTCAAAGGGTAAAGGCAAGCAGAAAGGAAAGTCCAAAGGCAAGGGCAAACAGCAGAAAGGAAAGGGTAAGACAAAGGGGAAGCTCAGCCCGGATCGGTGCCGGGTATGCGGAGAGTGGGGACACTGGGGAAATGAGTGTCCTCAGCGAGAAGTGAGAGAGGTCAGAGAAACAGGTGGTCAACAATCGCATGGGCAAGCAATGGTGACACTAGAGTGCCATCAAGCAGTGCGACGACCTATAGTTCAGCTGGGAGCACCACAGCTTCTACACAACGTGCAGTCCGCCGTGTTTGCATGTACCATGTGGCTACACCCCCTTTGCAATTTCCAGAGCAGTATGCTTTGTCTGAAGTTTCTTCAAATGAAGACTGGACGTCAGTCCCTCCTTATGTCAGGATGGTCGCAGCCCTAGAAGATTTTCGTTGCCCAGAGTTTTGCATCAGTGACGAAACGGACATGGTTGTTTCTGCGGAATCGCTTGCAGACGACTCGTTCTACTTGTGGTTTTGTACAGAGCCCGATTCGAGCATGGTGCATGGAGCTCAGAGG